TACACTGTAAATACCTGATACAAATTCATTGTTAACTAAACCCATCCTAGGGCAAGGGTGTTGCCTCTTTTGTTTTCTGTAATGTGCTTACAGGGGTTTTTAATCTTTTTCCTGCTTCTGAAGCCGTTCTGTTTTGTTTTTCTTAAACACCTTTATTGTCCTTGTCGATCTCGTCAGATTCCATTGCCAGGGTGTTTCAAAAGAGAATTTCTATTGCAAGGACCTCAATTTCAGATGAGTTGCCTCTGCCCAGGGGATAGGCTGCATACACAAAAGAGATTAATCTGATTACTGGTTGCGCCTTAAATAAGGACTGCAAGATCAAGCATGAGGTACTTAAAATTGGTTTTGAGTATTTTGGTATGTTTTCTTAGGCTGGATATGCAGGTACAATAATCCCCATTGTGGAAGAGACACCAGCCAGCCTTATGATTAATGCAAGACTTTTCCTGGCATTCTTTACACTTGAAAGGAAAAAAACCTGGTGGCATGGGAAAACACAAACCATCCGCACGGTTGGCAACGTGCGAATACTGCACCCTACACCTACTGCGTAGGAATGCAGTGTAATCATTCAAAACGTGTTTGTGCCGTGCAGCATCAGAAGGTTACCAAACCTTCTGGTGGCTGATTCATATGCAAATAACCATGCAGAGCGCTGTTCAAATCCACGCTTCGTTACCTCTGGCACATTGGGATACTCAAGGTGCAATTTGCCACGCGGTAGCGTAGGGTTGCCTTTGTGGAGGCAAGGTGCCTTTGCCATCCTGTTAGTAAGAGCTGTTTGTGGTGCCGTGCGTGTATTCAGGTATCTGCAGGTACTTGCCAGCAGCGCTGCTCGGCACAGGGTCACTGAGGAGCCTGCTGAGGCAGTTCTGCTGCTGGCGCTTCCGCAGACAGCGGCAGGGAGCTGCTTCTGATCAAATCACTCCCCTGGGAAATGAATCCTGGGGGTTAGGTGGGTATGTGAAACCATGGCTCCGGCTCAGTAGCCACAAGTACTTTCCTCTGGTTTCAGAAGTGGAGGAACACTTACGGCTTTAGTTGTTGCTTTAGTCTCAACAAATCTAATCAACGTTTTGATATTAGGGATTTGAACAAGAACACCCCTCGTGACTGTTCGACAAAGTGTGGTTTATCAGCTCCGAAGGTGAGCTGTTTCATGTTGCTATTTCACAGCTTTTGCAAACAATAGCTCTGAATTTTCTTTAGGAATGTAACACAGCAGTTTAATTACATCATGATGTTAACACCCTTTATCAGGTCTTAAATGGTCTGATATCTGATGTGACACAAAAAAGCACATTTTTGTTAAGGTTGCCAAACCCTAATTACTGCAGCTAACAAGTGTTTAATTAAAGCAAGAGATCAATATTAAAGACTAAAAAAAAACACAAAAAAAATAGATCACTGTTTCCAGTCACCTCTAGTTTTAGGCTTTGGGTACGTTTTATGACAATAAATATGGAACCTACAAAGAGCAGCCATTTCTTGCAGGGAGTAGTCAAACCTAATTCTCATGGAATGCTTGTTTCCCAGTAAAATACCACTAATTCAAGCCAAGTTAACAAGTTTCTTTCTGTCGGAACAATGCAAATGACATTTTCAAGAAAGAGTGGAAGCCCTGGTCTTGCAGGGATTTGTGGGAAAGACTTGCACTTGTGAATGTAAAAATGACACATGGTTAAATATGATGATGTGTTCTCAAATGTTACCAGCCTTCTGATCTAGGATGACACAAACTTGAACTAAACGTTCTTCTTCTTTTTTTACATTGATTTTTTTTCTGTCTCCTTTAAAAACAAGAGGTTGAATTCATAGTGTTGGCATAGAGACTGGTAGGAACCTATGTGCTTTAAAAAAGAGTAACCCTTTAAGACTGCAAACACAGTTAATTTGAAATACGGATTTGCCTTAATGGTTCAAGAAAAAAATAAAGTATTTTTAAAAGTGAATTTAATGACTTGTGCTGATCTTTTATTTCTAGGAAGGTAATTCACTGTAATGTCATGGGTTTGAGACAAACACGCTCGTTACCCTCTGATGGATACCTCTTGCACGTTATCCAGAGCAGCTGCCAAGTCTTAACTGAGTCCTTCATTCAGTGACCATGCCTGCATGAGTAACTTTTATGTACACAAATCTTTACCCTCGTATAACCACTTGTGATCTCGCCTGATAGCTTGTGTAAATGTTTGCAGTTGAGACCTGAGGACGGTGACACCCGTCACTCCTTCCACAACAGTACCAGTGGCAGGAATGTGTCTTTTGTGCTGCTCTGCTGCAGTTACAAACTTGAATGGTTTTGCCTTAACTTCATTTGCCTTCATTTGGTACACAAAGCCCTGCTTCAGAAAACTCTCAGCTGCTTAACTTTATACCAAGGAGTAATCAATCGTGCTCATTTTTGTACTTAACAAGAGTAGATAAGCAACCTTTGTTGGGATTGGTGCCAGCATTGTTTTGGGTTAGCATCAAGTATCTGTTAACAAATTGTATTAATTCTGTTTGCTACATAATGTGTGTATTGCAAGGACATTTTGAAGGCATCTTTAAAGTGCTGATGCTTACAGATTTACTGTTAGACACACCTTTTAAATTAGGAATGTGTGTGCAACATACATATATACATTGCATCCATAATATATTTATTATAATATATATATATTTCATCAGTTTTTCTGCTGACCCACAGTCCTGCTGTGTGCTTCCATTCTCGTTGACTGTATGACCGGTTTAAGGCATCTGGTCGAGTTTTTGCCCAGAGAAGCTGTGGCTGCCCCATCCCTGGCAGTGTTAAAGGCCAGGTTGAATGGAGCTTTGAGCAACCTGGTCTAATGGAAAGTGTCCCTGCCCATGGCAGGGGGTTGGAACTGGGTGAACTTTAAGGTCCTTTCCAACCCAAACCATTCTATGGTTCTGTAACTTCACAAACACTGAATCCACTTTTACATGTAGTGTAGCATGCTGACTAATTTGATGAGCATGGCTTCAATGTGTCGCAGATTATTGTTTTCCATCAAGAATCTGGGGATTTATTAAGGTGATAAAACAGTGATGAAGCAAAAACTGCAGCAAAGGATAAAGAATCACATTTCTTCCTCAGCTGTGCTCAGCACTGAAGTCCTTATTTTTGAGCAGTAGAAAGTACGCGGAGAACCTGATGAAACCAAACTGCAAAGGTCGGTCTCATCTTGAAGAGTAGGCCTTGTGGTAAGTTGGGCATGATGGCATTTGGCCCATGAAATCCCATATATACCAGAATTATGATACCGAGACCATAATGCTCATGTTCAGTGGGAATATGAGAACACGGAATACCTAAGTTTTAAAAGCTGGGCACAGATGATAGCCCTTTGTCATTCCAGGAAACAGTAAGTTGCATATGGGTCAGCCTTCTTTCCTGAAAACATGGACCAGAGGTAACAGAACGTATCTGATGGCCCTGGGCTACAAACTACTTTGTGGTACTTGCTGGAAGTGTGCTTTTCTTCACCTAAAAGGTATGCAGAACCACGCACTGTGAAGCAGAGGTATCCTTAACTTGGCTTTTTGTACTGTACTTGAGATAGATAATGAGTTGTACTGGGCCAAAGTAAAAATCCTGTAGTTACAGATTCTGTTACCTTTCAATACATGAGTCTACTCCCTCTCCACCATTAAGCTGTGGTTCAACTTAACAAGTACTTAAAGGCAGGGTCATTTCTGAGGGCTTAAAGTGACTCTTATATCTTAGCATGATGGTAAATATAATGATTAAGTTAACTGCATTTTTCTTAAAGGGCACAGATGAGGTTGAAGGAGAATAGCTCAGATACATGAAATACTTCCCAGCACATTAGTGGGTGCATTTCCCAGTGCCAAAACAGATTGGGCGTCATACAACCAAAAGGCACGTTCTCATTTAGATGGGAACTGTGCAAGCCAGGCTTTTAAAGCCTATTTTCAAGCTAAGAGTTAAGATGCAACCTGCTGCAAACATTGTGAAATACAGGAAATAAAATGTTTTAGAAAAACATTTGCTGGTATAAACATGTGATCTCATGTAACTGTTGCTTTCTGTCAGCTTGATTATAACACTAGAATTTTAAGATGGAAAAGTGCTGTGATTCTTTTTTGAGCATCTCTCATTCTCTTTACAGTTGATGTTTTAGCATGGGATGTCCTTCTGTTACTCATACAGGGCTGATAGGTACACTACAGCTTTTAAGCAGATGATAGGTACACTTACAGTTTTTTGGTGTGCCTAACATGAAAATGAAATTTCCAATTTCATATAAACTTAATATCACTTTCTTTAAAAGAATAGGCTCTTGTTGCTGCAAAAAAAAAACCCTGAAATACTGATTTTTTACATGTATCTTTTTCCCCACAATTAAAGATATATATATATTTTTTAGGTCTTAAGGCATCTACGAGCTTGAAAAGGGTATGAATAAGTCCATTATTGCTTCTCTAGTAACTGCAAGAAAATCCAGTCCTCGACAGAGGACACCAATATACTAGGTTCAGAAATTAAGACAATTTTAGGATGCCAAAATAGCTTAAAGATCTAAAAAAATCTCACTGAAATAATGTTGATTTCTTTTAACAGACACACAGTTCATTCTACTAAAATGATCAAGTTTAGATGCTGACATAACGATAGATGATGGGGATGGAAGAGTTGAGCAAAGAGATGTTAACCAAAACATTAACGGGTTCTGAACCACTGGCCAACAAAAGCTTGAGTAAACACATGATTTCATGGTTAGGGAGCATTCTAGACATATCCTTAAGGTGTGGGACTAAGTGGTTTTTACATAAATGCCACTTAATCTTCCCTGTAATTAAGACAAAGTCAGCATACATAATTGTGAACCTTATTTTTGAGCTAAACAAACTACTGCTTTCCCAACAGACTGAAACCCCTATTCTCACTGCAGTTTAATTGCCCAGTTCAGGAAAGAATTAAACTTATTAGCTGAACTTTTCTATTTCCAGATTAACTGATGTGACAGTGAAAAGGAAGTCATCTTCACTTGTAAAGTATAAACCAGGTATATTACGGATCCTCTCCTGTTGCTGTATTTATGTGGGCTTAGAAGATTGAGGGGAAAATTACTGCAGCTGCAAGCAACTTGTATCTTTCTTTTCTTTTATTATTATACTGGTATTCTATTACAAGAGCACCTACTTTCAGAAATCTAATGCTGTGATAGTATTGATGTTCTAATCTTGAAGAGTCTACATATTGCTATTGGTATCTGTGACATTTTCTTGTAACTATTTTATTTTAGACTTAAAAATAAAGCTTTGAATTCCATGCTTATTGTAATCTTATCAGGACAGCTCTGTCATGTTAACAATTGGTGTACACTGACATTCTTGGATGTGTACTGAATTAAGCCAGATAAATCTGTCCCAGATTTTCATAACACTGTAAGAGTGTCAAGAACAATACAAAACATTAAACTAACAAATACGAAAACTGGGACATGGTTCCTATCCTATGCACTGTTCAGTTTTTTACTACATGCGCTTTGCATGATGACAACAGGCTTGTCTGCCTTTCTTTCTGGCTCTTCAACACCTCCAGGCCATACTGCTGGCACTGCAATCGCTGCATGACAATGTTTGAAGCCAAGCCAATTGTAAGGAAATGTGTAACTGTGTTCTGTAGTAGTGAGATGATGAAGGTCACTTCTTTAAAAGGAGTAACATGATAGTCTCCAAAGGGAGAAAGGAGAACTGGCCAAAGAACTGTCTCTCTTGGTCGTTCAGTATTTACGTTCTTGTATCCGTTTTTTTGCAGGAGGATTTTTCCTGGGGCTTCCTTTTATCCATATCTTCTTGTATTTCCAAAGGAAATGCTTTTAGATTTTCATTCACACAAGGGAGGCAGAACCTCTTCGAGTAGAACAGACTACATTCCTGCAAAGAAAGTAACATTATTAGCAGGATAAACAAAATGGAACTGCTTCCGTTCCAGTCTCATTAAACCACATTTATATTTAGAATTATTCTAAATTAAATTCTTCTTCTAGGTTGAAATATCCCAGCAATTTTGCTTCTTCCTATTCAATGACTAACATCTGGTTAGAGGTAACTGATTGAAAAACAAAAATGTTGGGTCTGTAACACTGCTAACCAAACCAGTTGTGAATGAAACCTGTCAGATCACAGCGTTATTCCACTTCAAGAGCAGGGAAAATACCTTCTTTGTGTACAACGGCTTTTATACTTTGCCATCAAAAGTTCAGAGAAGAGACATCAGCTCAAGCTTTAGCACCATGTATGTTTTTAGTTTCTAATCAGTGAGTACCTTTACTTATTCAAGGTAAAGGTGGGTAATGGATGAAATCTCAGTTTAATTTTCTCAGCCAATTTACAGCACAGAGTTTGGGCAACTGGAAGAGAAGCTTATTAATGTATTATTCCTTTGCCCTGCAGCAAGACTGAATGAAGTCCATGGTTCTCCCGGCATGCTGATCACTAAATTCCAAATAGGATTTAATGGGTAAGCTGGTTCTGGTATTGCTGATGGATTATTCTTGGGGATTTAAGCATGAATAACGATATCAATTTAGATGGCTGAGGACATCTTTTGGGGAGTAATGGATTCCACTGCATTTTTCCTAAATAGCAAAGTTTTCTCTTGCCATGGTCATTTGTGGCTGGCCTTTCTCTGGGGGCTCGGCTTGGGTATTTCTTCTTTCCTTCCTTTTGTATCCCTTGTCACTAGTGAGACTTTAGCAGTAGATGATTTTATCACAATCTCTATCAGCCTGCTTCTGTGCAGCTTCCAAGCCCAAGGAACAACTCTTCTTCATCCATTGTCCGTTTCTGCGCTGACTGCCAGGCACCTTCGTATTGAGAGCTAGCATGAGGACTTGGGTCTCTGAAAAGCCCTGAAACTGGATTTCAGTTGCACAACCTCCAGAGCCTATTGTTTTTTGTCTCTTGGTGTCCCTAATACTTTAAGCTGCCAATTAAAAGTGAAGATTAGAGTTTAAGTTGGCTGTGCTATTTTTGTTTGTGTTGCAAAATGACACACAGCTCCCCCTGCCTCCAGGTTAAGTTCACGGCTCCACAGTGATGGCCGCTGTGCCACCACGCAATAGCAAAGCAGGGGAGAGGCTTTTCTTCTGTTCTGCAGATGTGGAACTCCGATGTCAAGGCACAGCTCCTCACAGATATACAGGTGCTCAACTTACATTCTTTTAGCTGAAATAAGCTGCCAACTTTGGCCAGTGGGACTTAGACAAATGATGAATATGAACCACTGCGTATCTGAGCGCTGGGCCCATCACTGTAGAGCCATGAACTCAACCTGGGGGCAGGCTGTGGAATCAGCGTGGTGAGGCACTGGAACAGGTTGCCCAAGGAAGTTGTGAATGCTCCATCCCTGGCAGTGTTCAAGGTCAGGTTGGACAGAGCCTTGGGCAACATGGTCTAGAGTGAGGTGTCCCTGCCCATGGCAGGTGGACTGAACTAGATGAGCTTTAAGGTCCTTTCCAATCCAAACCATTCTGTGATTCTATGATTATTCAGCCTAGCTGTTGTTTTAAAGCCTTACAAATTACCCTTACTATGTATAGACAAGACCTTCTTTGACCATTATCCTGATAGGCTTCAGTGCTTAACTGGAAAATTCTTTAATAGGTTTCACCTCTTCCATGACCAAGGCAGGATGAGGCCATTTCAATTTCAAATCTAACAATCTGGTTCAGGCAAAACTGTGCTGACAAAGCATACTGCCAGAGTTTATTTCTGTTGTGACATGGATCATGTCTGGAAGTAACATATACAGGGATAGTATCTTTATCACACTTGTCAAGGAAGTTGTATGTAAAGGAAAGGTTCTGCCTAACCGTGTCCAGGATTGACCCTGCATGACTGGAAGTCGAGTGGAAAGTAGCTGTAGTGTTACATTTATCACTTAATACCTACAGTCATGTCCAAGGTCAGTATCTAGTCACTGTCTGCTGAGGTGAGCAATAAGAGATGAAACTTGCTCCCTGTCCTCCTTTCTTCTCCAAAAGACACCTCTTTCTTTTCCTATGTTTAATGAGTGTTGCAATAAAAAAGAAGTAACTGTTTTAAATTACTAATATGGTGAGATGGTATCACTTCCTCTTCCATTTTCTGAAAGGGAAACAGGAAGAAGGGCACTCAAGCTTCCTAAGGACTTTTAAAAGCATTTTTGTTGTCTTCCTTTCTGTGGGGTTTTGACACGTTTTAAGACATTACAGATAATAATTAGAATTATTTCCAGTTGGACCACAAATAACAACACTTACCAATACACTGTGATAATGATTGGTTCTGTAGGGTGATGGACACTGCAAGCTGACTGGAGTAAATTAACTGAGTGGGGCTTAAGAGAACATTTGCAGAAGTGAGTTTATGAGCATTAAACAGAGCAGTTGTTAAGTCCTGACTTTCACTGGCAGAGCAGCTGTAAGGGAAGCCACTTCAGCTAACACAGGTTGTCTCATGAAAAGCCTAAAATCTGATCTGTATCTAAGCCTCCTTAGATACAAAAGCTACAGGTTAGTCCAGTACAATTTTGAGTCAACACAAAAATGAAAGCAACCTGCCACTGAAAACTTTCCATCACTTTGGTCCAGCTTCTTTGCCAAAGAGACCCAGGAAAGCACCATCTTCTTTAGTTTCAATTGTTATGTTACAACATGACGGACAGATTCGGAACAGGACTGAGTTGATCTACTTGGGTCAAGCACAAGCAGGAACCAAAACCAATCCACAGAGATATTATCCTAATTTCATCTCTCTCTACTGCCTTGGATGAGTCTTTGCTTCTCTGGACTTTTAATTTTCCTTACATGAAAGAGGAATAGTATGTGTTTACCTACTTTGTGGTGTGGGTGTTTAAAGCACTAATCTTCATTTCTGCAGGTCTCTTTCAATGTTACCTAAGCAGTATTGCTAAATACATTTTGAAACCATAGTCATAGATGTGATTCACTATCTGGTCTGGCCAGTTTGGTAAGAAATTTATTCTCAATTATTTGCAATCAAGGTTTTGCTTTGAGTGATACCATCAGGGGAATCTTGAAGACTCAGATAACAAGAAGTAAATGATTGATATATTTCCACAATGGGTGAAATAGGCAGGAATGTCAAAAAGATTAGAAGGGGCTTCTATTAGCTCATTGCTAACATCCTCTTTACATTACTATGCTCTAGAAGATTAACAGAAATAATTAATAAATCTTTTTAAAAGAAAAAGCCCCACCTTCATTCAGAAATGCACAGTGAGGAAAGATACTGAGAGGCTAAAAGGCTGTATTTCTGACAGATTCAACTGCCATACTTGGAAATACCAGTTGAATCCTTCCTAAATTCAAGAAATTCATTTGGGAATGAAGACAGCTAAATGTGCTCAAGTTTGCCCAAAATGTGCCAGAACTGCCAATCTTCTGCTGTAAAAAAAGAGGGCTAAACCTGACATGTCAGGGCAGGAATCAAGCTCAAAAGCCCAAACTATCTGACTAGTTGCATCTGCCTCTACAACTGGCTCTGTGGGGGAGTGAGTCAACTTCCAGCCAAGACAGTGACATTGTCACTAGGAGGATCTTGCTCACATGTGTGCTCTGCCTCCACGCAACTGCCTTAAGCTACTTGGCACTGGAAATTTGAGCCCAGCTATCAAAGACGTAACCAGAGAGCAGTGGTACTTCATCTGACTCCCACACAGTCCTCAGGTAGCTCCAGAATGGAAAAAAAATCATCTCAGTTGCAATCCCTAGTCTGACGTTCTGGTGATTCTCATTCATTTAAATGACAGAAGAGACTTCAGAAATAGGAAACAAATTTAATCAGGAGCAAGGTGCTATTCCACACTCCTCTTAGGACAGGGGGTCAAATCCATCCTTGGTGCTAACTCCCTGCAAATCAGAATAGCAGCTAAACTTGTCCAAGTGTGCCAATTTACTTTTGGCTGTGTTTGTCCAACCCTCTAAATTTTGCCCTGTAATCCGACCCTTTGTTTTGCTCAAGAGAATTTCCTCAAGTCCCCACACAGAAACTGTCTGGCATTGGCCTATGAGCTGTCTCAGTTGCCCAGATTACCTCACCTCGTGCTTTGAGGAGGCCAGCAGTGTTACTTTGTGAAGATGTAGATTTATTTACGTATTTATTTTTCATGTTTGGTGCCCAGTTATAGCTCTGGTGGGACAAAGTTTTTAGCAGGTCTGCTTGTTTTAAAACTCCCACTACTAGTTACCTGCAGTAAGGATCATACCGCTGGACCTGGCACCTAACCACTGCAATTACAGAGCAGGCTGAAAAGGTTGAATCTGAAAACTGCAAAAGCTGACACTGGAGACCCAGGTGTGCTCTTGCTAACAGCTCCTGCTACTAGCTGCACTCAGATTTAAGCATGTTACTCTAGGATAGCAAACAACCACTTTGAAAGAGGAAGCCGGGATCTGGCTGGCATTAGGGCAATGGTGTTTGGCATAACAGATACATGCCATTGTCCATGTAAACAAGGCAATGATGTCTCCTTGTGGGTTGAATCATACATGAATCCTGACTACTGCAGTCCCGACTCTCTTTCAACCACAGAACTGGCTTGTTGAGGGAAAGGAGTGGAGCCTAAGTTTTCTCAATTCATTTTACTGCCTCCAAGACGCACAGTACAGCCTCCAGACACTGATAACTGTGTAATAACTTGTCTTCATTTTTGCTTTGAACTCTCAGCAAACAAAGGGGCAAGTTCTGCACTGAGGAGAAGGAATTAAGACAACTGTAATTTTACACCACCCTTCTGGATCGCACTCAGATTTCATAGTTTTAAGGTTGCCTACCAGCTGCTACTCAAATGCATTCTTCTTCAGAGAGCTATCATGCCACTTCACAGCTCTCCTCCCTGCTCACTTTCTACATTAACTTTTGCAAATAGGATGGTAGCCCTGTGATCTGGACAAACCTAATAATCCATGGATAGAATCATAGACTGGTTTGGTTTGGAAAGGACGTTAAAGCCCATCTGGTTCCAAACCCCTTGCCATGCGCAGGGACACCTCACACTAGACCATGTTGCCCAAGGCTCTGTCCGACCTGACCTTGAACACTGCCAGGGATGGCGCATTTACCACTTCTTTGTACAACCTGTTCCAGTGCCTCACAGTAAAGAACTTCTTCCTTATATCCAACCTGAACTTCCTGTTTAAGTTTAAACCCATTGCCCCTTGTCCTGTCGCTACAGTCATTAGAGGCAAAAAAGAAAAATCTATTGTTGGGTGTAGTATGATCTACTGAAACTTTAAGGTCTTAAAGTGACATACAATCTGCCTTGCATTTCCTTGTGCTAGGAAAAGAAGTGGAAAAGAATACTCATTGTGAGGTTGGACTGTGCTCATCTGTATATAGGACACTCGAATTGCTGATCATTTTCCTTTAGTACAAAAAGCTTTATCTGTGGGAATCCACAAGAGCATACAATTAGCTTGCCTTACAAATAGGCTGTTTGTTTTTTATCTGTTTGGTCTTTCTCCAACAAGTCACCAGGACTGAAACAAAAAGAAGCGCAGCAGCTTGTTTTACTTGTTACTTACTGTACCAACACACACTGATCTGCCACACAAACTGCAATGAGACCCAAGGATGAGGAATTTGTCCTTGTCAGGGGTGAAAGGATCCTTCATGACGTAGCTTTCTTCCAAAAGCCTATAAAAAAAAAAGAAAAGAGTAATTTCAGGCTTTTAAGGGTACATTTCACAGTAGGGGAGAGTTGAAAGGCTGGGGCAATTGTGGAGGCTGAAAAGGTATCAGCCCTTTCTACCTGACTTCCTTGGCCTGGTGTTGCACATGAGGCAATGTAGCTCATATGCAGCTCCTTTCCTCTTCAAATACCAACATTGTGGCTGCCTTAAGTCCTATACTGCACTTCCTATGTGTCTTCTAAAACTAGGGGAATTGGTGATCATTTTAACATTGTCTTACCATGTTTTTCTCAGTGCTCTACCTTGAAGTATTTTCTTATCTTCCATATTTCTGACAGGCACACCTTAGCATGGCCAACTTCAGTACCTCGTCAAGTTAGCATTTCGATTTCACAGCTTTTTATTAGAAGTTCTATTCCAAAGCTGTGTGCATGACAGTATAGAAAGTTTTTACTGTTCTTAGTTATGTCACTGCTGTAAAGCTACAGTTCCCACCTCTTGAAAGCTGGAGCTACTGGCACAGAGCTTTGCAATGGCCTGGAATATGCTTACTTTATGTCACAGACTCCACTGTTTGCTTCAGGGTATTAAGGGAGTGTATTTATTAATAATTTGGCAATCTGCTTGAGAAAGACTAAGGCCTTATTCTTCCTGTGAGCTCCAGGCAAAGTATTACAGAAGTCACTTGGGTGCCTGTCTGCACACGGCATCCTGCAAGGCTGGCTTATTGTTGGACTTAAATCAAACTCGGATTCTGTAGTAACATGGAGTACAATATATATTTTAAAAGGTATTCTTTTAATTCATATTGCCTTCTCCTTGTCTACATACATACACACTTATGTGTGCATCTGTGAGTGCAGTCCTTTTTCTTTTTCATCTCCACCCAAACAAAAAATGGTATAGCTCAAGCCTTCCATAGGAAAGATCAGGCATTTTATCATTGGAAATCACCTTGTCAACAAGTCTCTCAATATACAAAGACTGGATTGCCGTTGCAAAGTTTCCCTTGCAAGATTCACAGTTAATGTTAGTCATCATCTGTGCAGAGACCTGGCCATTATACAAGCTTTTATGTCTGGCATATGTTTCCCACATCAATTGCATTTAGGACATATGAGTAGGCCAGAAAGAAAGCCAATCAAGGTAGTGTGTAAAGCTATTTCTTATATGCATGTATAGAATTATTATGCTTCAGCATTATTATTTTGCTTTTTGAATCTCAGTCACCTAAATAAAGCTGAGATGATAACAGAGAGCTTGGATAACCTAAAGTTAAGATTATGTTCAGCTTTGATTTAGACTCTTCAGGAATGGACCTGATCAAAGGTAGGCCATTGCTCTGCTGAGTAGAAGAGAGAAAACCAGTAGCAGTGTAGGGTTTGGAATGATAAAAATACAGCTGCCCAATAAGAACGGCCCAAGCATGTAGTGATCAACAGCTGTGTCCATTTTGTAAGAAATTAGCAGTCTTACTAGGGTGAAACACTGAGTACATGCCTGACTTCCAGTTCCAGTGAGTTCCTGGCCATGCTTGCCTGACGGGTTCGTTGACCAGGATGGACACAACAGAGCAATTCATACATTTAAAGCTAACTGCTTTGTGCAGTTTAATGCCTGCAGACAATATTGTAATGGCATAGTTTCTGGTCAAACTATCCTTACTTTGCAGAGATGGAAAAGGCTTTGGTCTCCTAAAATATAAATTTGCACTACATTTCCACACACTTAAATACCACACAATGGGCCAAAGAATTGTCTAATTCATGCAAAAAAAGCATGGCTGTTCAGAACTCCAAGTCACACAGCTCTTAAAAAGTGTTTTTACCATATGTATTTAATTGATTCTGTGTTTACATGTTCCCCCGCTGACACAGCTGAAAGGAGAGGGCTATTCCCAAAACTGATAGGCTGACAATCAACAGCATTCTAGTTAGAAAATAATGATATAGTTGTATTCTAGGGTGGTCAGTGGGGTTAGGAAGTAAGTTAAATGAAAATCTTAGCACGGTGTTGACGCAGATTTGGAAAGTTGATTTTTGTCTTTGCTATGAATGCTAACAATTTTTAATATTTCTTCCCGTTGGAAATAGGTCACTTTAAGTACCAAGCCCCATACTAAGGGGCAGTATGATATGTTACTGCATTCATGCACTCTATGTCATTCCATGGTACAAGGCTTCTAATGTTCATAACATAAATAACATCTGTAATATCAAAGACTACTTACACAATAAAGCGTGTGTGTGGTGGCTTCTGCCCATAGTATGTGTATGGAGCTGTTAAGTTACATAGCTGACATGTGAACTCTCCTGTAGGCTGAACTTCTTTGGGAGCATCCATCTTTAAGGTACCTACAAGCAACACAAACACCTTTTAGTGCCAAAATGCAATACTGGGAACATTCCTGCCTGCAAGAAGATTAAACTGATGTGGCACATCTGGCTATGCAGATTAAAATCCAATGGAAAATTGACTACTGCAAACCTTGATGAGTAAATCTCTTCTCCTAAATCAAGTTGGTTTCTCTGTCCCAGTTACACTTACAAATCCCTTAGATAGGTTTAGGCTTGACTATAAAGTTCACCTGTTAATTTGGAACTTCATCCATAAAAGAATTTAGGTAACAAAGCACATGGCTGTGATCTGGAAAACCCTTTGCTCAACCAAGGCCTACACTCACTCCCAGTTCTGCAGTGCCTGTCTCCTCCTCCCTGCAAATGGAGCCATGAAAGAGTTTGGGACCCTGCTCAGGAGGCAGGCACCAGAAAGGTGGCACTGTAATGATTTACTACATGTTTTTCTTTGCTTCTGGTTCACCTTTGAATGGTTTTGGAAGCTTAAACCTGGCTCCTTCTTCTTATCTGGCTTCCTATGGAAATGAGGCTGATGTAATCACCCTGTGCCTAGGGTGATTACTGTGATTACTGAGTGCTGGCCCATACAAGTCACAGAGGACAGAGGAGGAGGTGGTACCTTTACAAAAGTTTAGGTTCTATAACTTTCATGAAAATAGGCAGAAGAGTGATACTCTGCTTTCCCCTCATGGAGGATACCTATGTATTTCTATGAATCAGAGAATCTACACATAGGAAAGCTACTGTATCTATCTGAAATACTTCAGACACTAATTACAAAGTATAGCTATCTGTCAATGAGATATAAAACCTAGAAAGCCATGTTTCATCAGCTTTGATGCTTACAAGATGACTTATTTAACATCTTGGCCATTGGTTTACAGCTGGGAGCTCACCCTTCACTAGTACCACTTTAGTTGGGTGTCATACACCAAGCTTTTCAGAACGTGGTGTGGCAAGTATGCTTTTGGGGCTGATTTTGGTGTGCATGTATGATCAGATCAAACACAGCTAACCATGTTATTTGTCCCCAGATTTGCACTGTTCACACTTTTCATGGCATGCAGTTTGCTACTGCAAATCTGCCAGCTTTTTTAAGTGAAGCAGAGGTCGCATCAAGCTGTTAGGAAGGTGAGCAGTAGGAACTCGGATTTGAGCAGTATCTCAGCAGTGAGGTTGTGTGTGCTCGCAGCTGAGCAGACACACAGCCTGCCAGAGGACTGCAGCTGATTCCCACTCACCTAGCTTTGCAGTCATACCCTTCCCTTACAGAGCTGATTCAGTTCACTATGTGAACATCATGAAGCAGTCTTAAAGCACACAAACTGGACAGCTTCAGATGAAACTAAACTGAAAAATGTGCTCCAGAAGCACACCTAATACACTTCAACCTGAAGACCTAACTAATGGCCATACAGTCTACAGGCTAGCACTAGAGGTAATCTGAAACATCCTAAAATATAGAGTGAGCAGCTGGTATCCACCATCAAGCACCTTGGTTTACGGTTTCATTCTTACTGCATCTCACCAGTTATTATTGTAGTAACGAGTAAAAGAACTACCTCTTTTTTTTTTTTTTTCCTCCAATGTCTTTTTCACTCTTATTTTAGGGAACTAAACTGGCTTGCAGAGGAATCCAACAACTGTTAACAGCAGTTCAAGGTAGGTGGCAAAACTACACAGCCAGGAGAAAGGGAGGTCTGAGACGAGAGACCTGTATTTCCCTCTTTCAATGACAGTAAGCTGCTATTTCTGCTCACCCTATGTGGTGAAACTGAATCCTTAGGGACATATGCTGCTAAGGTGAATTAGGGGCAAGGTGAAGCAGAGTTGTGACTACTTGTCACCTAATGTTCCAGAAGAACAGGGAGCCCCAAGCTATTCAGAGGTTACAGAGGCTTCATAACAGACATCCAGTTCAGAAAGCCCTAGCCTTTTAAATTTTGGGAATAATCTCCCTAACCCCATAATTCTTTCACCATCGTCCTTTCTACTTCCATTCCTGTCATTTCAGTGGTACAGGAAATTCTTCAAATGTAACACAAATGGAGGTGGATACTGGTTTAATAAATAAATATGACATGAATACTTTTGGCAACTACATTTTTTCAAAAGTAATGTAACCCGCGGATATTGTGTATTTTCTCTACCTCATAGGGCTGCTTGAGAGAATTTAGTTAACTAAAGTGCTTTCAGACTTTTCAGTTAGATATAAGTCATGGACATCCTACCCATTTCTCCCTGTATATTAAAACTGGGATTCTTCAAACTATTCACAAACTTGACTAAGAATACGCTTTTTGAACCCTGCCTCTGCATTTTAGGATTACTAGGCAAGTCCCCTGAAATATATCTAAATTTACCTTTTCTGTAGGTAGTCAGTAGCATTATCAAAGACACCAACCTGTCTGAATGAGATTCAGTCCAGTACATTCTTTATAATTTTTTGTAATCAATCTTTTTTTTTAAATGGGAAATAATTAACCCCACAGAGATAGAGTATGGAAAGTCACTTGAATCAAACAGAAAAGAATATCATGGTGATATTTTCTTTAAAATAATGCAAAGACTCAGAACAACAACAACAAAAAGAAGTATTTATGGCAGTGAGGGTCATAGACCTTGGAATGAATGTGTGCTGATTCCAAGTCAAAATAACAGCCATGGGTTCAGAGCTGAAGTACGTTAGATATAGAAACACCTGCTCTCTTATAGTCCATTGGCATGTAGAACAGAATCTGTTCAGTGACTACCACTGGGAAGGAATGATATCTATGTACAAACAGATTTTTGGCTATGCCAGTTGAAAAGCATATGATCCTGCCTGCAAGGCACAGATGAATTTATGACGCTTTCCATTTTACTCCCAGCTTACAAGTCACTGGTATCAGCTGTATCACTTGGTATAAAATTGGTATCAGTTTTACTTCCCTGGGAACATCATTTGTCTACACAGCAGCACTTGGGAATGTTAGTTACCAACTCAAGGTGTAAAGTGAATGTATAGATTTCAGAGCGAATGCTTCAATTCAGAAGTTATATTTATTAGTTACATATATTGCTATTAACCAAGTAAAGCCATTTCCCTTCTTAAGAAAGATTCAATGGCAAATGTAACAAGCTTTTAGTCTATGCATGTGCTTCACACCTTTAGTCTAAACAACCAAGCAAACAAGTCCTAAGATGCACTCTCTCACACAAGGCTTCCAAAAACCTCGCATGCAATTAAAAGAACTGTATGTCAGATAGCAAACACACAGAAGCAAATCTGGGATAAAACCACAGTCGAGACAGACACTGGTTTATCACAGAGTAAGTTTGTTGGTTTGGCTCCATACACCATTTTAGTAAGATGCCTGATATGACAACTATGACAGGGTGTCTGCCTCCCCTCCACGCAGACATATGAAGCGTGAGTGAGAACTTCTTTCTTTCTAGTATGCCAACAACAGGATGAAGGATCTCTTGAGCAGATAAAAGTCTAGGGCACTAATCCCTTCATGACAATGACAGGCAAATTTCTGACCTCAAGTTACTCAAATCATCACCTGTGCTACCACTGGCTTTTTGTCCTTTCCCTGAAAATTTCTGAAGCAGCAACATGTCCCAGTAACATGTCGAATATCTGCCTGGCTGGTACTGAAGAAGTCTTTCAGAACAGCTTGTTTAGAACTAAACTCTGCCCAAGCATTTGCCATTTTGGCTGGAAGCTGCAAGGTACTTAAACGCATACTTACTTTAAGCACATGCAGAGCTCTCCTGAAAAGAACTCGGCTACCCACACATGCTTGATTACAAAGCAAACGCGGAACTAGCATGCTCAGCAGAAACTTGCCAAGTCAAGCCCAGAATGCTGTAGGACATGTGTGAGGTTGGCCCATGTGTCATGGCGAAAGGTAAAGAACACAGATTTGAATGCCGTACTATGGAAATAATCGCAATGAAAGAAAGGCGCAGGTTAGACAGTGATACAGGAGTGTTTCTCCATGCTGTCTGTGACTGATACATGATATGGATGTGGGGTAATGGCTCTCAGTGCTGTTCTCTAGGGACTCCTAAAAACTTCAGGGCAGTTCTGCTTAGAGTGTTCTGCTAACAGGCCTGGAAGGCATGCCAGAAATAATAAATCACCATTAAATTGTCAGGGTCAGTGGCAAAGTAGCAGCACAGATAAGTAACCTGATTTTCTTTGCTTCAAACCTCATTAGCACAAGTCTTTACAATGCATAGGTTAAGCCCTTCTTAATACTCCACAGGAGACTCATGTATTTCTAAGTCACTGATAAACTAGAGAAACTATACAAGAAACAAACTGCCTATAGACGCAGGCTTTGATTTGAAAGGGTGTCAGATAAAACCAACATTGACACACCTTTAATCCTCTCCAATTAAACCCTTGTTTCTTTTACTTGCCAAGATTTTCCTGCAGTATCCACTGTTGATGACAATGACCTACTATAATATTCACAGCTTGATTCTCTATGGGAAAGAGTGTTCTCTAATAGAAGGGCAGGAGCCAGTAAGTTCATAGCCTGGTAAATGCTAACTTATTTTGCAGTGTGTGGTGTGACATAAATTTAGAGACACTTTGGCACCAAGAATGCACTCGCCTCCTTCAGAAAATTGCCTAATTGCTTAGATAGTAAATGAAACAGCAGAACCTTCTTACTTGCTGGTTAATCCCCAAGTGAACAACTCTCTCTCTCCAGTTCCTCCATGTTACTGGCCTGAAGGCATGTTTAGGTCACCTGTTGGCTGCCTCCCTGCTCTTCCTTTGAGGTGGTTTACCTTGGGTTCAGCATAACAAATTAGCCCAGGAATGCAATTTCACCAAGCATGGCCACTTTTTACATCTTTTACCCTTATTACCTCTTACAAAGATCACTTGTTGAATTAAACATTGACTTGTTGAAGCAACTTCTCCCTTCAGGCTGCAGGGACTGTGCTGGTATTGCTATGCTTTCTCTGCTCTGAAGGAACTGAGATTGCTGCAGCACACAGGCTTCTCTCTAGGTATCACAGGGTCATATCACAGGCCCCAAGCCCTGCTTTTCAACAACAGCTTGTGCAGATTCCCTGTGGATATCCCCTAGGACAAATAACCTAGGTAGTCACAGATGTGAGCATGTTTTCTGAACAGTTGTAGGGACTGTAGGGTGTGTCAGATGAGCAATACGGACAAGCAAATCAAAACACAACCTTAGGTAAAAAGGCTTTATGAACACAAGATGAATCTCTAAAAGGTATCTATTGAGAAGACATACGATTTAACAAAGCTAAGAAAACAAAACTTAAAAAAAATCTAGACCAGGTACTCCTTACTTGGATATGGCAGGCAGCCAGCTCGTAATTAGCATTTAATAATCAAGGATCTCAAATTAGGCGAGAATGTAACAGCTTCACACAGGAACGCTGCTAACCAGCAGGTACCACTGTCCTCTAGTGGACACATAGGACCTGCACTGCCCTGGTGACTAGCGGTATCCCCGTTAGTAGCTGCAGGGAATACTCGCCTCAGCACCTCAGCTGTTGAGAGTAACTTAGTTGCAAAAGCCCAGCTAAGCGGATCACACAGTAGGAGTGAATGACAGAATAAAATAAAAGCAAGCTGCCTAAGCATGCCTGCTGGAGGCCATCTCCACGTTTGTTTGGAGAGGCACAGTGTGTGGTGGATCTCTTTTCCGTGTAACAGAACAATCAGTCCTGACAGAGGAGGGAGAACTATACTGCCATTAGTTCTTCCTTCTCCCAAGAATTAACCTCTCATCATACCAGGTTTTCTGCTTAATACCCCTCCTTCCTCTTCTCCTTCTCTTCCAACATGCCTTCCTAAGCAGAGTATAAAGCTTATCACGTCATCATCCATGATGCCATTCTAACATTCTATCAGTAAAATGGCCTAGAAATTAAAGAAAGGCAATGCAAGATTATTGCTCTTCTCACAGCACAGTTACAGGGACTTAGAAGAGAGGAGGTTAACTGCAGCTCCCTATTATAGCTTTGTTAGATTAATGTCCATAGTGGGGAAGAATAAGTCAGTAAGGCTCTATTAATATAAGTGATGATGATTCCTTTTAAGTTGTCCTTAAAGAATAATTAAGGACACTGTTCAACAGAGTCTAAAAATAGGAACTCCAAGAATTTGTGGAAATACATGAGGAGAGGCTAACATGCTGTTTCAGGAAATAAGACACTGCAACATGACATAATCCTGAAAGAAATAAATATAGCTTCACTGATTTATCTCCCTACAGAAAGCAAAGTTGGTACTGTAAGGAAACACTCAGCTCCCACTATGTGGGGTTGCAAGTTACAGTGTCCTCGCTGGGACAGCCACTGCCCACTTTCCCTTGTGTTCAGCATTAATACACCTGTGGAGATTTCTTTCCAGTAAAATGTGAATGAAGCTGTCAGTTTGTTAGGACTGGGCTCAAGCAGAAGACTTCATAATGAAGTAAAACAAAATCTTCAAAAAGAAAAGACAACACAAAACTATTGGTGGGGCAGGGGGCATGGGGTAGTGTCAGCTTCAAGAAAGCCTGAGAATAAAGAAAGATCTGTACCTACTACACTTAACAACTTTCTCATGCCCATAGTCACACACACACACCTTCATACAGGCATGCCCATTTCCTCCAAACAACATGTTCATCAAGTTTTGTTACCCTAGCTGTTGAGAAGAGCGAGCACAAGAAAACACCAGAATATTTCCAGTGTGTCTGACAAAGCAAAAGTCCATTGTCACTCAACCCTTAGAAAGTTTTCTTTTCCAGGGTACTTGCTGGGAGTTCTATTACAAGAACTTACAAACAGGTGCCTTGTTTCACACCTTCACACAGTGGTCATTTTGGTTTTGCCCCTTTGGTTACATTTTACATTGGAAATTAATCCTTCGTTCAGGGGCTAACAGCTTCAAGACTTCCTAACTTTCATCTGGTAAATTCATTTTTTTCTAGCCATGTAGCAACATGAAATAAAGTGAAACCAGACGGGTACAGACACTGAGTTTTTTGCATTTTTTCAGGTTAGTCTGTTTGCTCCTCTCAGACTTTGCTTCCCAACCAGTACTTGGATTACTGTGCCTAAAAAACAGGCAGGTACTAAGGCTGCACTTACTTCTTCCAACACCTGATACTCTCATCAAACAGGTATTGAGGCACATATACAAGAACCACTTCCACAATTTTCTGCAGGACACAGAGAAATTATGCTTATCGTTAGGCAAGTATGTGGAGACATTCTGCAATAGACAGCCAAGCCATTTTTGTGCATGCTCTGCAGTCTGCACAGCCTGTTCTCCAGAACACATGTGTTTATGTTCTTCCCTTCAAGAAGTTCTTCTGGACAAATTCGCTGCTCTGTTCATCACAGGTAAAAGAGGACAAAGGTGGGGTTTTGCCATGTGACAAATTTAATCATGGATAGAGAAGTGTGGACCCTGGAATTCTCTATAAGCAGAGTAAACTGCCCCTACTGGGTCATATGCTAGGAGGGCAGACGTTCAAAATCTTTGCAATTGTGTCTTTTTGCCCAAACAGCTCAAAATCCAGTGAGAATTAGCAGCATCCTCAATGTGTCACAGATACTTAAGGAACTTTCCTTTGTTTTAAGATCTTTGTCTGTTCAGCAAGCATAGATGTGTCTGACTAAGATTTCACTGAGTTCCAAGAGGAAAGTCTGGGCTGCAGAGTAGAGCTAATTAAGCAGGAGAGTTGATGGGGTCTTGACAGACATTTTATATGCTTACATCAAGAGTTTTTAAAAGTACTGGCCATAGCTAGATAGATAAGGCTTAAGAACGCTGTGATGTCTGTTACAGAATTAAACATGTTTTCTTTTTGCACATATGCACAACTCTAAGTGTGGTTAACTAGTAGTAACTTTACTCAGTGTTAGACAGAATAAATGAAAATGCGGGGAAGAAAGCTTAGTGGAAAATTGTTATGGCATGTAGTTATAAGGAGACTTTACAGGAGGCAGCACAGTTCATGTTAGCTGGCCAGTAAAAACAATAAAACATAAAGCAGGTGAAAAATGCTTTCATTTTTTACCTGCTCAATACCCAAGGTATTGAGAAAAGGAACATAACAAAACACTCTCTCTTGCTTTATCCTGGCCTAGAGCAAAAGCGAAACCTCAAACTGTCGCAACCACAGAGATAACTTATTAATCCAAATCTCAAGTTTTACTTATCTATTTTGAGTTTTGGGACTCTTTGCAGTTTTTTGGTTGACTGACTTTTGTGCCAGTAAAAGCACTGCTTTAGGAAATAGGCCAGTGCAAAGGTAATGCACAGGCTAGGAAGTTTAGCATCTCAACAAACCTAGGGAGTAGATCTCAATTCCAATTCAGGTTAACAGCAGAATCCAATCCACTGTTATTTATCACTAAATAAAAACCTTCTTTGGTCAGAATACCTCCAGGCAACCCCAGATTGCTGTATTTGTGCAGAGTAAAACTTGCAGGGGATCCTCCACTGTCTTGATGTAACCTTATCATATTTGTAGAGATCACAGATGTACATCTTGACTCTACTGGAGGCAAGACAAAGTGAGACAAGGTATAAAGTAACACCCTTGTAACAGCTACTTTGCCTGGCAAACTTCTCTGTTTACATGGAAATTAAGGCATAAGGAAAACCTTATTTTTTTTTTTTTTTGGCATGGAAGCATGAAGGTCTTACATTTTACATTTTGTTTTGTATAAAACATACAATTTCAATTATAAGCATATAGTTAAGGCAGTGTTATAATTAGTTACACTGACATAAAAGGGTTTGTATCAATACAACCTGTAAACTACACCAATTAAGGGAAATTAATCAGCACATGGTGTCTTTGCACCACTAACGTCCATCCAAGCTGATACACTGGTAACATCGCCAATCTGATCTCGTTGAAGATGTCCCTGCTCATTGCTGGGGGTTGGACTAGATGACCTTTGAAGAGCCCTTCCACCCAAAAATGTTCTATGATTCCGTGATTCTGTGACTACAGCAGGGGAAAAACCCTAACAGAAAAAGAAAATAAAAGCAAATGTAACCAGTGCACAAACCTGTGAGTACTAGTATAACTAGCCGCTAGACATAAATCCAATTCTTTGACTCATAGATGTGTAGAGATGGAAGACAGCTCAAGAGATTACTTAGGCCATCATGCCTAAGGCACGACTGGCTTTATTTTGATGGCATTTTGCAGTGTCTGTAGAGACTTCAACCAACCCAAGTGCCTTAGAGACAAGTAACAGGTCAGCAATCAAGCCTGGATTAAGTATGAAGGAAAGCCATGTGATTAACACCTCTCCTTAAGCAGAGACCATTTCTAGCATCACTGAGATACGGATATATTTATTACTATATAGGCTCTCAGAGCAGAGTCAGAGAGAAATTGTGGCACCCCATCTCTCATACATCTTGCAACCTCCCCTCATGTTGCAAGAGGAGTTGAGCACCCAATTGTTTACATAGCTCTACAGCCCTCTAAGCCTAAGATTGTAGTCCCAATACCACCTAACCTAAGTGCAACCTCAAACTGGAAATGCCTACATATGACAGGAAACAAGGGTTTCCCCTAAGATCTCTGGAGTCCTTCAAGCTCCACCTTTGTGTATATCCGAGAGCAGTACCCTCAGACAGCTCAGAATTTCCCTGGAATACTCTCCCCAGTCTCCTCTGAGGCTGCATCCTGTAGCTCCAACCTCAGCTCATGCAGTTCCTCAGAAAAAGCAATCTATGGCCACTACATTCTATTACACAAAGAATATACTTTATGCTAAAAGCCCTGTGTTGAAGAAAAGTCAGAATCAAGCTTTGGCTGTAGATCCAGAATCATGAGTGTCTCCCAGTAAGCAGTCAACCTGCTCAGCAGGCTACTCTCAAGAGGCTCATGCTCTCTCTTGACCTCAACGCTTTCCTCACTTGCTTCAGAAATCTGAAGGGAAGAGGCAGTTTAATTCATGCTCTAGCAAGTCAAGCACCCTGGAGGTGGGAGGTGCAGACTTTAAACCTTCCCCACTCCAAGCAAATCATAGAATGGTTTGGGTTGTAAAGGACTTTAAGATCACCTAGTTCCAACCCCCTGTCATGGGCAGGGGCATCTTCCACTAGATCATGTTGCCAAAGGCTCTGTCCAGCCTGGCCTTGAACACTGCCAGGGATGGAGCATTCACCACTTCTCTGGGCAACCCATTGCAGGGCCTCACCACCCTTACAGTAAAGAACTTCTTCCTTGTATCCAACCTGAACTTCCTCTGTTTTAAGTTTAAACCCATTACCCTTTGTCCTATTGCTACAGACCCTGATGAAGAGGCCCTCTCCAGCATCAAAGGGGAAAAAAATCCACGGTTTGAACTCTGCTCTCCCACCTCTGCAGGGATGCTTTGGCACTGCCGTTCGCTCCGATGGAGAAGCCTCCACAGCAACCGCTGAGCCAGCCCGGGTCCTGTCCGAAGGAGGGAGGTCGTCAGTAAGGGACCACGGCTGATAAGGAGCACAGAAAAACCTTTCTCAGATCCCAGCTGACGTGAGAATAAAAACTCGCTCCTTTCAATAATTCAGAATCATAGAATCACAGAACGGTTTGGGCTGGAAAGGACCTTAAGATCATCTACTTCCACCCCCCATGCCATGGGCAGGGACACCTCCTACTAAACCATGTCACCCAAGGCTCCGTCCAACCTGGCCTGTTGCCGGGGAGCTCAGGCTTCCCACGCGGCCAGTACATTGGGGCCCCTTTTCCCGGGGAGCCCCGGTTCTGTTCCGCTCCCTTCGGTGCACCCCCAGGCCAATCCCCGGGCACCGCGACACGCACCATACCCACCCGACCGCTACCAGCGCCCCCGCGCAAAGCCCCCACGTCAGCTCCCTGCGCCGCTCCTTCTTAAAGAGCCAGTGCCGCAGGGCGCGCGCGGTTGGGGTGCGCCTGCGCGGGTGTCGCCCGTCTTTCGTTCAGCACCGCGGCTGATGGCAGCCGGTGCCGGCGCCTTTCCTGGTAACCGATCCGCCGGGCCCACGCCGCGGTGCTTGAAGTTCCTGTAGCCTAAGGGAGAAAAGGGCTTTGGTTTTGGTCTCGGTCGTCCCTGCACCGCGAGGAGCAAGTGGCTGCGGGCCTATGGGCGACACCATCCCATCGCCTGGAGTGCTGCCTGTAAACTCGCTGCGCCGCGAGGAGCATGTAAGACTTAACTAAACAGTAATAATAAAAAAATCAGCGGGCTCTGTGCATTCGGAGGGAATTGCCTGGAGGACGCCCCCTGCTTTATAAATAAGGGTTTTCACCAAATTGCCCTGTCTTCCCAGTTGACTTGGTCAGTCCGTCCTTACTTACGGGGGGTTTCAGGGTGACCCGTGTGCAGGTACAGTTTTACAAGACAAAAAGTCTACTTCCCCCCAGGCCCTGGAACAGGATTTTACGGTCCACCGTTGATGCCTTCCAAAGGGACATCCTAACAAAGTCATCTGCATATAAATGCAATGCAGTATTGTGAAGCTCTATTTTTAATTGCCGGCTGGCACCCTGCTAACTCGTCCGGTCTTTTCCTATTCCTTATGCTCTGAGTGGGAGGGATTTATCACCATTTTCAGATGTCAGGCCACTTCTGCTCTTCTGGTAGCCTGTGCTCAGCCAGAGGGGAGGGTTCTGCGCACACTCCTGAGCCAACTCCTTATGCACCACCTCTGCGATACGGGCATCCCTTCCTGTGCAAACCGGGCCTGGCTGGCACGGAGTTAGTAAAACCATGAGATACAAGGTCACACTTCGCAAGAAAACTGGAGTTACTTTTTGAAAGTAACTTTGACTCAGAGGCTGGCAAGGCATCTGCCTGTCCGTGATGAGTGACTGCTTTTCATCGCTTGTGGGTTTGGGGTTTTTCTCCTCTTTGCTTCTTAAGCTGTCAGTACCTCAACACACAGTGTTTTTTTCCCCCCACGTTTTCCCTTCACTTCTCTCCCCATTGTGCTGCGAGGGGAGTGTGTGAGCAGCTGGGGGGGAAGGGGGGGGGGGGGTTACCTGCCAGCCAGTGGCACCATGACAGACAAGTGCCACTGAAATTGATGCAGAACAGTGTGGGGAGCATCTAAGCCCAAGCACTAGTAAGGGGATGAATGATAAAAAAGTCTTAAAAGTAAATAATTTATTCATGAACAATTATTTGAAATATGAATATTACAGAATAAAGTGGTCTTGAATACAAAACTAGTATCTCCTTTCTCATATGACCAGGTAAACCATTTTCTTTCCATGTATTTTTCTGCTCTTGAGTCCTAAATGTCGCCGACATCTTCTCTCAGACTGCCCATAGACTGCCCTGTGAAAAAGGTCGGTCTCACTGGTTTGGGATTTTTTACAGATCAGAAGATAAAACATCCTTCTGAGCCTTTGCAATACAAAAGTAACCATTTGTGTTTCATCAGATGGTTCTTCATATACAGGTTGTTTCATATCTAAATAGGCAGACATAATGACACCTTGGAACAGATTGATCAAGACACAAACCATCACCACCACAAAAGAGGCTAGGAAAAGGCCCCCCAGCAGCCTGTTGGATGAAAATTCGGTATCTCTGAAAGCTGAGACGCAGTAAGAGACTATGGTCTGAGCTGAGTGAATCATGTTATTGTAACTCTTTTCATGCTGACCAAACACAAGGTAGCCGAAAGCCAAAAATATAAAGAAGTACAACACTACTATGATGGCCATTGAGGAGATTCCAGGAAGGGCTGCCAAGAGTGATCTTTGTGCCAGGTGCATGTCATAAAAGAACTGAGAATATTTTAGAGTTTTCAAAATTACAAGAAATGCTAAAAAGCCCGTCGTACCCATTAATAACTGATCTAAAAGAGAAACTGCATGAAAATAAATGAAATCATTTGGGTGAAGTAAGTAAAAGTTCACTATATCTGCTCCCATCTTAAACTTTATGCCCTTTAAAAGAAAAAGAAGGAGGAATGCTAATTTTAAGGCAAAGTTGATTAGATTGGAAATTTTTTTCACATAGTCTTTTTTTTCTCGGCCTATGACATATAGCTCATCTGCAATGTAAATGATCAGAAAGGCAAAACCAATTGCAGACACAAACATCTGAGCTTTGGTTTGCTGATTAAAAATTGGGAGCGCAAAGGAGTGGACTGACAAACTTGGTTTGATGATCCCCAAATGAGACATTTCAAATATGACTGAGATGGTACAAAAGAGAGCTGCATCTGAGTTAAATGTAGTTAGTTCAACGATCACAGCCCATGTCTTTTCATCAAGCCAGTTGTTCTGCTGTAGAGCATCCAACCTTGTTGTTGAATTAGATCTTCCTTCTTCAGGGAAGAAGTAAAACGTGTATCCTGCAGGTCCATACGTGTACAAATCTCCATACGAATAATACATCCATGGAGTCTTGTTTGGCTCATATGTGAAACCACTGTAACTGCTGGCATATCTGGAAACAGACTGGTTGGCAACTCTTGTCCAGGTGCCGGCGTAGTCGCCTTTCTCTGGGATGTCGCTGCCGTACTTGTGAAGACAGTGGCTTTTCCTGATCACAGAGCTATTTAGAAAGCTCTGAGGGTGGAAACATTTTTTCTCAGTCCCTTTAGCCCGCACCTGCCTCATTCGGGGCAAGCCGATGATTTTGGACCAGCTCTCGGGAAGAAAGGTTGGCTGAATGTCATTGTGGATCAAAGGCAAGAACACATCTTTCACCCACATGTAGATATCTTCTAGCTTATCTGCACTGGAAAGTTGTGGAGAGAATTGGTGATGTATGAACTTGTTGTAGTGGAAACTGCTGGCTTTCTCAGCAGAATAGGCAAAATTTAATAGCAGTGTTAAAAAGACAAGGTGACTGATGAAACCTGTGGTGAAAATAAATGCCTTGACTTTAATTTTTGCTCTTTTACGCATTTTTGCTACATCATCAGCTTCTAAAGGCCTGTAGCGCTTGCTGCCTCTGACTTCAGCCAGTTTCAAGTGCGCCTCTCTCATCTCATCAACAGTCATTGTTTCCCCAGCCAACGTAAACTCACAACACTTGTCCTGAGTTAACCATGGGATGTCTTCGCAGTGTTTTGGGCGAATCGTCCTCGCTGCTGAGAAAAAAATGATTTTTAGAATTGAAAGGAAAAACACGCTCTCAATAAAGGAGGCTGCAGATGCTATAAGCCACTCCAGTGAAGTCTGATAGCCATAAGACAGACCATATAACACAATGAAAAATGATGATAGCCCAGTTACAGCTATAACTAGTGCCCACGAGACATAGACACACCAGCAAGGGAAAGCAATGGGTGTTGTCTTGCACAGGAGTGTAGAGTCAGTTCCTGGTGGTTTTCTTTCTTCCTGAGACTTGCTGCCTGCTTCTGCATAGTTCTTACTAAAACTGGAATGTGATGGTGGCCTTCTCTGGCAGGCTTCAGCCGCTGGAGGGGAACTTGCAGTTATCACCTGCTCTTCTGTTCCAATGATATTTGCATCTCTTTCAGGAACAGTGCAACTCCTCCAGTTTCGTGGAACTCCCTTGCTTCCTGTCCTCTTGGAATGTAGTGGGCTCTGTGAGTTGTTGGGACCAGGAAGGGTCTCTGAGGGACTGATACTCCTTGATTGTTCTGAGAGGTATGATTTTTGCAAGTGTTCCTTCGAATTCTTACAATTTCCAGATAGGAGGTGTGAGCTTCCCTTTGGGACTCTCTGAACCACACCATGAGGAGGAAGAGGTTCCTTCTGGGAATACTTAAAGAAGGCAGTTATCATCATTTCCACAGGTATGGTAAGCAAAGCACATTCAATTCCTAGTGTTACTGATCTCAAATACCTCAGGTGTACTGATGATTCTTCATTCTTCATAGCATTAAAGAACATGATGTTAACAAGCAGGTTAAATAACAGTATTGCTAAACATGAAGACAACCTTTGGAACCTGCTGTAAGTGCCAGTGAGATAATTAACAAAAATGGAGAGCCACAGATGCCCCTCTATTAGACTGTTGGCAAGTTTAATAAAAAAATAGTCAGTCCTGGGCAGCAGTGTTTTGTGGCTTGTGACAGAAAATGTCCTTTCTATTAAACCATCGCCCCTGTTGAGTGCAAGCCATTTCCTGCACATAAAGAACCAGGTCTTCCTAGTGGACATGTTCTCAACTTTGGCTCTGCTTAAGAACCAGCCTGGAGATGGGCCCTTGTTATTGTGCCAGACCCTGAGGGAACAAACATCTCCCAAGTCTTCCTTAGCAGTTAACAGAAAGCAGTCCATGCTTCCTGTTCGGAACGATGGAAAATGTGGGTGCCATAAACAATGGACATCGCTCATGCCATTTTGGCCGATGAGCTGAAGAAAGACATTGGCTGTGGTTCCAGCTCCCCAGCGACTGCCTGTGTATAAAGTGACCAAAAAGCTCACTTTGTCAAAGGGGTCATTGTCTGGCAGAACTACAATCTTGTTTTTGCTTACCCTGTCACCTTTATCCTTTCTTATGGCCCAGAGAGACAAAAGAAAGTAGATGGCAAAAATAAACAACACTGTTAAGAGAGTCACTGGGTTTTTATAGATGTCTGCTATCAGGATTTTCCCCAGATCTACTGTGTTGGGGGTAACTATTACTTTGGCTGCCAGGAACCTGATGTCGAATGTGGATGCATTTAATGCAGTGTGTACTGACAGGCTTCTGTGACGCCGCTTCATATTGCAGACACAGTGTATCGTCTGCCAGTTGGTCATGGAGCCAAGCCTACACGTGTCTTCTCTCCACAGACTTCGAACCCCCTCCAGAAACAAGCATTGATCACTAAAAACGTATATGCTCACCAGTCTCTGGCTTTGATACCTTACAAAATAGGGTGTCATCAAGACAACAGAGATGTTCTGAGTGTTGGTTCCGCTTTCTTGAGCTGTGGCTATCAGCAGTGACTCTGGGAGACAGATAATATAGGGAGCCTTGATGTTACAGTCAGCGCTGGCTGTCTTGGTTATGCTTGCAACCACTGGCATGTTATGAGAAACAGCAAACGAAGCTATGGGATGAGCATCAGTGATGTTGGAGCCTGTAAATACTAGCACCTTGAAAGTAACTTCTAATTTTGTCAGGATCTGGATGTATAAGCTCTTGGTGTTTCCATTGACTTCTAAAGTAAATCCTCCAGTTGTGTAAGTTTCTGTTTTATCAGGTCCCATTGTTAACTGAAAAGTTGAAGATTCCTTATCCTTTCTAGCAATTGTAATTTCTGCTCCTTCAGGCACTATCCCTAGCTGATCCCCATTAGCTTTTGTCTCTGCCATTTTGAACCCGAAGACCGTTGTTACAATTTCTGTTGTGTAACCTAACCAGGGGAAGGGATTCTCATCAAACTCAAAAAGGGCAGTGGAAATAACAGCATTATGGGGCAATTCAGAATAATTTCCCTTTTTCAGTGATGGGTAAAAGCAATTCCTGCAGGTGTTTGTTGTAGAAGAAGCATTTACACTGTTCAGGTTTTCATCTTTCTTCAGAGTGATGTTCCAGTGTTTTGTTTCCATTAGAGTAGTTGTTTCTCCAGGGACTTTGCCTTGGAGAACTATGTCCGTTAAATTTTCCATGATGGAGAAGACTTGTTTAACTGCACCTACATTGACATTTCTATGATGCAGAAGAGCAGCTCTCAGGATGTTGGACAAGCATGTTAGTATTCCACTACTCTGAATTTCTGCTTCTTCAGACCAGTGCTTCTTGTTCCTCTGTATCTTCAGCAATCCCGTAACTTCTGTCAGTTTCCTAACAGCAAGGTCTTGTGATCTAAAGTTCAATTCACCAGGGTTGTCTGTGACTTGAGAAAGAGAAGCAACTACTTGATTGATTTCCATTATGCTTTCAACCGAAATATTCACAGCTATTTTAATCAGGCTTTCCCGAAACTGAGTGTTAGGGAGCTTGATGGTTGGTGTGGCTTTAATATAGTTTAAGACTGAGGCTGTCAGATAAGCCAAATATCCTGCACTAAAATAATCTCCAGTCTGGAGATAAGATGTCATTGGTGCACTAAAACCGCTTACTGAGGCCAGCAGTTCATGAAACACAGCAGCTACTGGTCGACTGTCAATTGGATTTTGCACGCGGGCATATAAGTTCACTTGGGTAAATGCTCCAAGGGAATCATGGATTTGAACGTAAAGTGTCAAGATGTACTTCTGAGATGGCACTCCAATGGGGAGAAAAGATGGAGGAGTTTTAGGCTGATAACCAAAGTACATAATTATGCCAAATGTATTTTCCTTCACAGAACTTATTTTGGTAGTTTTGTCAGAAGCTACTATCACTTTATATGTCAGAGGTAAATTGCTGTCAGAAAATCCACTGCATTGAACAACAAATTTTGTTAGAAAGGCAGTACCCCAGCGTGGGTTGATGGTACACTTGCCAGACCTAGGAGGAATATTTATCTTAAAAGCGTACTTGTAGATGGAGGACCTGCCATCCCAGGTAGTTACTTTTAGCAGAAGTATGTAGGATTGATGTGCAGTCTTTGTAAAAGTCAGAGCATGTATAGATAGGTAAGTCCCGTATCTCCCTGTTGAGGTTCTGGAAGACCAGTCAAAGCTAATTTCTGTAGAGTTTTCTGACAAAAGGGACCAGTAGTAGACTGGCTGGTTGTGTGTTCTACAGTTCAGGCATTTTCCAGACAAGGTAAATCTCTCTGTTGGAATGAGACTGCTCCCACAGTTTTCAAGACATGTCACGTCCAGAAGGAGCTGGGAGCCGGGCTGCACATTTACAGTTTGGTCTGCGTAACTCATCCTTGTATCCTTCTGAATCACTAGACGGAAGTAGTACATGGTGTTTCCTGGGAGGGATTCTGGTGGCATTGCTTGAACTGGACCTGAAGATCTTAACCATTTCAGATCACTCTGGGCTGGATGGCATTTTCTTCCTGGGCTGATTTTCATGTTTTTGTAGTCTGATGCCTCTTTAGTACAGTACCAAGTAAATGTGATTCCCACTAGTCCTTCCTTTGTGTATGAATCAGGATCATAGGATGCAGAGCCATTGAGAACCCAGCTGTCATAAAAACCCACTGTGTGGAATCTGCCCCCTGCAATATTTGCCACTAGACTGCTTCTCTCAATCAGAACGTAAATCCCATCTGAATCCTTGACGACTTCTTTGGTAGCAGCAACGATTATCTCAAAAGTGAAATTAAACAAATACAACCCATAATCTAAAGCAAATCCGGGAACTGTTAAGAGTATCTTTTCTATACCATCTAATGAAGAAATGTTCATTGGGTTTGTCCAGTCTGGAATAGTGGTTATGTCCTGAAGAGGATAGACTCGCCAGAAGGGTTTAATAATTCTGACAACTCTGCAATCTGCTATCACTTTGGCAGAGAGGATGAAAGTTGATGACCTTTTCTGATGCAAGATAGAGGTATGAAGAGTAGGTCTCTGTATATACACGCTGTGTATTTGACAGGTTTTTTCCTGGCAAGACACAGGTGCTTCTATGGTTTTTTCAGCATAGTTGTTGACTCTGGCTCTTAAAAGAGCCGGTGTAAGTGCATTTCTGGTACAGTTCACTTTTGCCACAAACCCTGTATATTTCTCTGCATCAAACGGTAAAGCAGAGCGACGGACAAAACGTGTGGCATTTCTTACATGATCATTGTATGTGTAGGTGCTATTCTGGAGAAGGTGGTCTTTTTGTGTTCCAAAAATCTGCAGGTGGAAGGTCCACTCACACTGTAGCATTGGATGTTGTGCAGGGATAAACCACACTAAATAAGTAAAGCTCTGCAGAAAAGGATGGCTGCTGCTGAAAACATGGACTTCAAGGTCTCTTTCTGGCAGGGACCTAAACAAAGCCCTCTTCTGATTTACATAAAGGTACATATTGAACTTGTAAAAATAGAAAGCCACAAACTCTATGGAGAGTAAGTACGAGAGGCCCTTGTGTTGGTAGAACACGGTGTGTGTGTTAGGGCTGTCTGCGTAAATAGGGCTGTGGTTATCTTTGGTTGTGTAAAATGTTCTATGGTTGTACCTGAAAATGTATGTGCTACTGTTGGTCTTCCCTGGCTGAAGGTTGACATGGGTGGGTGTTTCTTTGCCTGCAGTTAGACTGAGAGTACCATTGAGTAGATGTATTTCTCCTGTCAATTCTTCAAACCTCTTTCCATCAACAGGAAGGTAAATACTGGCCACCACCACCTCATCCCGGCTCTGAGGTGTGGGAATAGCACAGAAGTTGCGCTGCAAAGTAAAGGCACTGTAGGAACGGACCCAACCTCCTATAGCCTGTGTGTCCACCAATCTGTAGGCCAGTGCCTGCAGGGTAAGAGGCTGAAACCTCCAGGAGAGGCTGAGTGGCTGTTGAGAAACACTAAGGAGTTTGGAGCTGATGCTGAGGACATGCAATAAGTCAGGCTCTACCTTGAGAGAGATGTTGATACTTATCTGAGGCATCTGCTCAATGCTGACTGAAGCAACATGGAGCCCAGGGTGCCTGTAGCGCACAGTCAAGCGGTAGCTGTAGTAGGTGGCACAGGTCTGCTGCAACTCAGCTGTTGGGTAGATATCAAGTGGTAGCGTCTCTTGGTGCTCACTGCTGGGAAGGAGAAGGGTAGAGGGGCTGCCCCCCTGGCTGCTGAAGCGGTACTGCCAGTTGACACTCTTGAGACGTGCACACCAGCTGAGCTCTACTGGCTGCCACACAAGGATCAGGTGTGTCTGTGGCCAAAGCACAAAGAGCCGCATATCCTGGGCAGCCATCTGGATGCTCACGTTGTGATGGAAGCACTCGGGTGCAGCGCATGAAGCAGATGAGCACTGCACAGTGAGAAGGCTGAAGCCCACAGGTGGAGAATCACTTCCTGGTAGGAGGCCTGTTTGCAGCGTAACCTGGCCCAACCAGCGTGAGGTGTTCTTCACCCAGGTTGAGTTCAGGTACCAGGAGCAGTGGGGTGGGGACTGTGGCCACCCCGCTTTTCTCTCTACCTTGGGCCTTGCTCCCAGGGCGGGCTTGTAACGCAGGTTCATGGTGCTGCTCCACAGGCATGAGACCTGGCGCTCGTTGTCCTGCCGTTGAAAGACTTGCCCGTGACTGCCCCAGCAGCTGACCAGCAGGGGCGGTGGCTGGAAGCAGGGAGCGGAGACCCCCGAGCAGAGCAGCAGCAGGAGCAGGGGGAGCGCTGCCATTGAGCGTGAGGCGCAGGACACCGAGCGAGGCACACGGTCACTGGAAAACGTTGTGGGCGCTGACGGTTAGGTGCCCGGTCCCGCGCCTGGCCCGGCCCCGCCTCCTCTTCCTGCTCGGAGGCGCGAGGCGCGGAGCTGCCGGGCTCTGGCTGCGGGGTTCATGGCGCTGCTGAGGGACTGCAAGGTGAAGGCAGGCCTGAGGGGAGCGGGACGGAAGCCGCCCGCCCGACAGGGCCCTGCTGTCAGCGGACTGTGGCCCCTGCTCCTGCCAGGCGGCCAGGGTGCGCCCTTGTGGCGGGCGGTGTCCTTACGGGTGGGCCTTGGAGGGGTCCCGGCCCGCCCGAGAGCTGGGCGGAGAGGGGAGGGAATGGCGGGAGAGCCGCTGGGTCTGGGACGGGAGAGCAGCGAAGGCGGCCTGGCCTGGCAGGAAGGCGCGGAGAGACCCCCTTGCGTGGAGAGGCCTCTGCTGGAGAGAGCCCGTCAGCTTCAACCCGCGGAGCATGGCGCTCGGGTGGATTTGTGGAATCAGCTGGGTTTGAAAAGACCTTTAACATCATCAGGTCCAACCATTACCCCAGCACTGCCAAGGCCACCAGTAAACCATGTCAGTGAGGGCCTCATCTACATGGTTTGTGAACACTTCAGGGATGGTGATTCCACCACTGCCTTGGGCAGCCTCTTCCAGTGCCTGAGCGCCCTTTTGGTGAAGAAATGTTTCCTAATAGCGAGTCTAAACCTCACCTTGTTCTGCTTGAGGCCTTTTGTTCTGTCACTGAGGAGAAGAGAGGAACCCCCTCCTCACCACAGCCTCCTTTCAGGCAGTTGCAGAGAGCGATAAGGTCCCCTCTGAACCTTCTCCAGACTAAACATCCCCAGTTCCCTCAGCCGCTCCCCATCAGGCTCGTGCTCCAGACCCTTCACCATCTTTGTGGTCCTTCCCTGGACCCGCTCCAGCACCTCAATGTCTCTCCTGTAGTGCGGGTCCCAGTACTCAGTGTGCAACCTCACCAGTGCTGAGTACAGGGGGATGCTCACTGCCCTGGCCCTGCTGGCCACACCAGTGCTGATATAGGCCAGTATGCCATTGGGCTTCTTGGCTGCCTGGGCACAAGCTGGGTCATGTTCAGCTCCATCAATCAGCACCCCCAGGTCCTCTTCCACTGAGCAGCTTTCCAGCCACTCTTCCCAAGCCTGTAGCATTGCATATGGTTGTTGTGGCCCAAGTGCAGGACCCGGCTTTTAGATCATCCCTCTGTGCTTGGAACTAGTGAGGCACTGGTGATACAAAGAGAGTAAATGGCCTCAAGCTGCACCAGGGGAGGTTTAGACTGGACATTAGGAAAAATTTCTTCACCAAAAGGGTTGTCAAACATTGTAACAGTCTACTCAGGGAAGTGATTGAGTCCCTCCAGGTATTTAAAAGATGTGTAGATGTGGTAGTCAGTGACATGGTTTATTGGTGGATCTGAGTTAAAGGTTGGACTTGATGCTCTTACAGACATTTTCCAACTTAAACAATTCTATGATTCTGTGATTTTAAATCATCTGCTGTTTTTCACCAATTCAGTGTCATCACTTAATACTGAATAACCAGCAGTGACATAGCATAGAACTTCAAAGAATTAATGAAATGCCTCATGTTTTCAGGTCAAGTTATGCCTAAATAAAGAATGCTCTGCTTGTCTAAGTACCTTACATCACAGAATGTCAAGCCACTTTGCATGGAGTGATTGATGCCAACCGGAAATTGGTTCCTTGTCACATGGGCCTTAACCCAGCATTTTTAACCATAGACCTTACAATGTTTGCACTGTAATCTTTCAGCTTTTTAATAGGAATCCAAAGGTGGAATTGTTTTTTTTCTGATCATCTGATCTGTAGGCCTCCAGGTGACAGACACGTAAATAGTTTTGTACTGTAACATATTTTTTATTACTTCGCCAAATTATTTTCATCTTTAGACCAAGCAGTATGATCTGGAAATCAGATTGATACTGCACAGAAATACAAGTTGACAACACCCCAATATTTCTAGTGTTTCAGAAATGAAACTGAGCTTCAGGAATCTTACAGAAGCCAAGATAAAAGCAGTTCTGGGGTATGCACTTATAAGGCTTTTTCATTTTATTGGGTTTTCCCATTCCTGAATACAATCAAGATACCTATTACAGGAGTAAAGTTACTGTGAGAGGACACCTAGTGGTATTTTGCAGAAAGGCACAGACATACATTGGATTTTCTGAAGGCACTCAATTCTTTATATCATGTTATTCATTATTCCCTTCTTATGTCTAGGTTATGATATGGAGTACTAGATATTCCTTGAGCACACTAAAGAAAGTATCAGATACCTCATCAATTAAGCAAAAGAAAGCACAATCCCAGTTTATTTGTATAATCCTACAGAATATTGTATAATTCTATCCATGGCTTTAGGGATGAAGCATTATTCCATGACAAAAGGGCTTAGTGTGTGAGGCCACTGGGCACTGCCAAGCAAGACTGAGCCCAGCCATGAGAAAGCCACACAGAGCAAAGGCAAGGCAGTATAACCCTCTGTGAACTACTGTGTGCACTTTGTAGCTCCAGATTTGGAAGAGCAACAGCAATGAAGCTGAAGGCAAGTGTGAGCAGTGCCATATTTAGAAAAGGAGGTCTTTGTCCATGATGGAGCCATCATCTACTTCTTGTATCTAGGTAAGGTAGATGAACATCCCAGAGTATCAAATAAAGAAAGCCAACAGCAAGGTGCAATAGCACAAGCAAATAGATGATAGTCCAGTAAGCATACTGTCATCAAATCCATGAGGCCTAGCAGGCCATGCAAGGTTGCAAGCCTCTTCCCAGCTATTTGTAATATTTTTTTATGCCATTACAAAACCAGATACAAACAAAAGCAGATACTAGCACAAAGGACAGTTAAAATGAATTGCAGAAAGATAAGATATAGCAGATATCTTGCTTGAAGCTTGCCAAGAAAGAAAAATCTGGTGGAACTACCAGGGAGCAAGTGAGTAGGAACAGTACCCAGGGGCAAACTGCTCTTGCATGTTTGAAGTGTGCCTTGCACCTTGCTCTTGCACTTTGGAAGGCAGATGCAGGGATTGTGAGAATGAAGACCCTAGGCCCACTGTAGGAGAGGATCTGGTTAGAGACCATCTTAAGAACCTGAACATACAGAAGTCCATGGGACCTGATGAAATCCATCCACGGGTCCTGAAGGAGCTGGCAAATGAAGTTGCTCAGCCACTGTCCATTATATTTGAAAAATCATGGCAGTCAGGTGAAGTTCCCGACAACTGGAAAAAGGGAAATATAACCCCCATTTTCAAGAAGGGGAAAATGGATGACCCAGGGAATTATAGCCCAGTCAGTCTCACCTCTGTGCCTGGCAAAATCTTGGAACAGATTCCCCTGGAAAGCACGCTAAGGCACATGAAAAACGACAAGGTGCTTGGTGACAGCCAGCATGGCTTCACTAAGGGGAAATCCTGCCTGACCAGTTTGGTGGCTGCCTATGATGGGGATATGGAACTGATGGACTGGGGTAGAGCAGTTGATATCATCTACCTGGACTTGTGCAAAGCATTTGATGCTGTCCTGCATGACATCCTTGTCTCTAAATTGGAGAGACATCAATTTGATAGGTGAACCACTTGGTGGATAGAGAACTGGCTGGATGGCCGCACGCAGAGTTGTGGTCAATGGCTCAATGTCCGGCTGGAGACCAGTAACGAGTGGTGTCCCTCAGGGATCGGTGTTGGGACTGGACCAGTCTTGTTCAACATCTTTGTCGGTGATGTGGACAGTGGGATTGAGTGCGCCCTCAGCAAGTTTGCCGATGACACCAAGCTGTGTGGTTCGGTTGATACCCTGGAGGGAAGGAATGCCATCCAGAAGGACCTTGACACACTTGTGAGGTGGGCCGATGCCAGCCTTATGAAGTTTAACCATGCCAAGTGCAAGGTCCTACACCTGGGTGGGAGCAATCCCAGGCACAGCTACAGGTTGGGCAGAGAAGAGATTCAGAGCAGCCCTGTGGAGAAGGATTTGGGGGTGTTGGTTGATGAGAAAATGAACTTGAGCCATCAGCGTGCACTTGCAGCCCAGAAAGCCAACTGTATCCTGGGCTGCATCAAAAGGAGCGTGACCAGCAGGTAGAAGGAAGTGATCCTGCCCCTCTACTCTGCTCTCATGAGACCTCACTTGGAGTATTGTGTACAGTTCTGGTGTCCTGAACATAAAAAGGACATGGAACTGTTGGAGCAAGTCCAGAGGAGGGCCACAAGGATGATCCGGGGGCTCGAGCACCTCTTGTATGAAGACAGGCTGAGAAAGTTGGGGCTGTTCAGCCTGGAGAAGAGAAGGCTGCATGGAGACCTCATAGCAGCCATCCAGTATCTGAAGGGGTCCTATAGGGATGCTGGGGAGGGACTCTTCATTAGGGACTGCAGTGACAGGACAAGGGGTAATGGGTTAAACCTTAAACAGGGGAAGTTTAGATTAGATATAAGGAAGAAGTTCTTTACTGTGAGGGTGGTGAGGCACTGGCATGGATTGCCCAAGGAAGCTGTGAATGCTCCATCCCTGTCAGTGTTAAAGGCCAGGTTGGACAGAGCCTTGGGTGGCATGGTTTAATGTGAGGTGTCCCTGCTCATGGCATGGGGGTTGGAACTTGATGATCTTAAGGTCCTTTCCAACCGTAACTATTCTATGATTCTAACTATTTCTACTAGCAAACATACAAATAAGCATTAAAGAAACCAAGATCCATATCAGAAATACAGACTTCTACTATAATTTCTTATACAAAAGTGTACAAGTATTTAACATGTTCTTTACTCTGGTTTCCTGGTTCTCATTTCTGTCTCTCATTTGGTAATATTAATTTCTTACATGTGCAAATGTTTTGTCTTCTTGCAGTTTGATAGCAGTCTCCTCTTTCAGGTACTTTCTGTTCCAGTCATTTTTTCCATAAAGTGTCTTGGCATAAGTAGGGAGTTTCAGCTTTTCAGTAAAAGTTTTCAAGGTATGACAAACCCTTAGTAAAAACCACTAGAAGCAAGTTTAAACACCAAGTATCTGGTAAATATTAGCAATTGCTTGGCTCTATACCTCAATAAAGTTCCAGAACAAATGATTTTTCCATTATCTAC